ACACACACACAGATAAACACACACACAGACAAACACAAACACACACACACACGCACACATACACGCCCACGCACACACACACACACACCCACACACACACACATCATCCAAACGCCAGTCGTGGGCCATCCGTTTTCGTGATGGTCTGCGCTGTACGTTTGCGGACACATAATCAATGGTCACGCATCGATTGCCCTTCGCCGCACTTCCTGGCGTGGGGCATCTTTGATCGTGGCCGCACACCACACACACATACTCGCACACACACACACACACGCACACACACACACACGCACACCCACACACCTCACCCACAAACACAACTCATCCATACACAACTTACTCACACATACTCGTCCACACATAACTTACTCCACACCAATCCTTCACCATCTCTTTTCTCTTTCTTGCTTACCCCATGCCGTCTTTGCCTTTCTTTTGTTGCTTGTTGGAAGAAGTTGACTTGTGGGGTTATCCGGTCCTTTAATTTAAACTCTAGATTGAGTTTATGGTAGATATGTATGTATATATAAATACATATATATAATATACATACATATAATATATGGAGGGTATAACTATGATGGCTTATAACTATGGTTACTCACCTTTATGTAGATTATCATTATCCCACTCATGGCTTTCCAGGAAAGCCCAATTGCGCAGGAAATCCTAGCCATTTGTGAACGGCAAAGACGTCCTCCCCCAAGTCGTCAAGCCAGTTACCCTCTGGTAAACATTCACAGTTTGCTATGGAAAATCACAATTTTTAATGGAAATTCCACCCCCGTAGACCCCAAACAGTAATTCCATATCAGCGTGGTATTGTTTGTACCATGACCAAGCAATGGCTGCGCATTTTTGCTCCGTCCTGCCCCCCCGTGTTACAATCACCCCGGTTTTTTGTCTGTCAGATTCGTCCGGATACGGCTAGAGGTCGCATGAACAACGGAGACAGGATCTGTAGGGTCGGCCCTGACATGATTGCTTGATTTGATGCAATCGGCTATGTCGACCCTTGATTAGGACTGTCGGTTTAATCTCTCGGGTTAGTCCCACAGATTGCCGTAAGTATTCTCTTCACCGTGTCTTTTGCTTCAGCCTTTGCAAAGCTTGACAAAAGAAATGGTCGCAAGGAGTGGGAATTGCTATCACACTAAAAGAGAACTCCAGCAACTGAGAAAGTGCGTAGGGATGCTATCAAGCTATCAACAGCACGATTCCGATCACAGCACCTCCCGCGTATTTTTGGTCCGCCCTGCCCCCCCCGGGGGTGAGACTGAAAATACCGACAAAATTCAAAGTTGAAGCAAAATGCGGCGTGAGCTGCTGCAGGTACCCTGTCAACTCTTCTGGAATAAAAATCCGGATTTCAACGGATTTGAATGTATTATGAAACATGTACCAGGTACCTTTATTTGGTGACATCAAGATATCAGTCTCTCAACCAGGCCGTCATCCTGATCAGCAGTGATCAACACGTGTAACATGCTATTTTCATTTCAGAGCGCGAGCGCCTAGAGCCGGCTCAAAAGAGGATCATCAGTTCTGTTCAGCCTGCGGAACAAGTCCACATGATTCGATGATGGTCGAGATGATGAGGACGAGGAGGATGGGGAGATGGATGAATTGGAGCGTGACTTGAGGTACAGGGGCAGAAAGCTAGCAGGTGGCAAAGCAATGATGCTGAAGACAAACCAGAATGTAATCCAAAAGGAGGAGGACAATGATGATGTTGATGACGATGATGATGATTATGATGATGACGGACGGTGGATGAGGATGAGGATGATGATGGTGATGATGGTGATGATGATGATGATGGATGATGATGATGATGATGGCGGTGATGATGATGATGGTGATGATGATGATGACGGACGGTGGATGAGGATGAGGATGAGGATGATGATGGTGATGATGGTGATGATGATGATGATGGATGATGGATGATGGATGATGATGATGATGATGGATGATGATGATGATGATAATGATGCTGATGATGATGATGGATGATGATGATGAGGATGATGATGGTGATGATGATGATGATGATGGGGATGATGATGATGATGGTGATGGAAACTGATGTCGAGGTAGGAGGTTTCCGACGGAAAAAAGAGGCTCAAGAAGCAAAGGTCATATGGTACAATCTGGCGGAAGCTTCCTTTTGACCATGCTCAGTTCCTTCTTGAGCTCTGGGCGTTCAAGACGTGGAAGTTTTGTTGCCGACCGGATTGCTTACATTTTGGCCGTTGGCGCGAATGGTCTTGGAAGTCTTTCCCTCGGCAGTTGGTCTCGAAAGTCGTTGCGTTCCTTCACGAGCCCTTGGCGTTCAAGACGTGGAAGTTTTGTTGCCGACCGGATTGCTTACATTTTGGCCGTTGGCGCGAATGGTCTTGGAAGTCTTTCCCTCGGCAGTTGGTCTCGAAAGTCGTTGCGTTCCTTCACGAGCCCTTGGCGTTCAAGACGTGGAAGTTTTGTTGCCGACCGGATTGCTTACATTTTGGCCGTTGGCGCGAATGGTCTTGGAAGTCTTTCCCTCGGCAGTTGGTCTCGAAAGTCGTTGCGTTCCTTCACGAGCCCTTGGCGTTCAAGACGTGGAAGTTTTGTTGCCGACCGGATTGCTTACATTTTGGCCGTTGGCGCGAATGGTCTTGGAAGTCTTTCCCTCGGCAGTTGGTCTCGAAAGTCGTTGCGTTCCTTCACGAGCTCTGGGCGTTCAAGACATGGAAGTTTTGTTGCCGACCGGATTGCTTACATTTTGGCCGTTGGCGCGAATGGTCTTGGAAGTCTTTCCCTCGGCAGTTGGTCTTGAACGTCGTTGCGGGGCGAAAGTTGTGGGCGCGCTTGATGTTCGACTACGCAACATCCCGAGCAACGACTATAAGCGAAAGTTCGCGCATTTATTGTTCGCCCTGCCTCTCCAAAAATCATCAAGATCCACAAGGCGTTGACATTTGATTCATTGCACAAATGATCAAAGATGAAATGACATGCTGGCAGCATGACACATACACAAACACAGGCACGTGTTAAAACAACCACAAAGCCCTGCATCTACAAACTAACCACCTCAACACGCTAGCATCTCGTGGCACCCTGTGAGAACGACGGACAAGTTCCAACATGTGCATGCCACCACCGTCGCCCAGATGAACGGCTTCAGCCTGTAGAGTTTTTCCACCAAGAACTGCGCCTCCACAGGAGAGGCAATGTGCCTAGGTTCATTGCTGGTCACCTGGCAACGGTGGCCATGGCCCATGGCGGCCGCCACCCATGGTCCAAAAACTGAGATGGATGTGTTGAGATGAAGATGGATTGAGGTGGATGTATTGGATAGACGTGCAAACATCTACGACGACGGGAATTGCACATGCATAAGTATCATCATTTGCGAGCATACATCAGCGATACGTATGATAATATGAATACAACGCATGTTGTGCCGGCGATTTTCGGCGCCGCCCTGTCAACCTTTTCCCCTCCACCCTGCACCCTCCACGCTCCCATGCCCACCTAATAGGCTCTTGGACTCCCATCCACCGGATACGTTGCTGTCTCTTAATGATTTATGATATTCTATGATCTTAATGATAGCATATGACGATGATGACGCCGGCGATGACGGTGACGATGGCGATGACGATGACGATATTTTGAAAATTTGTAATTAGCGCTATCAACCCACAACTGTGCCCGGCGCACCCAGTCAAGACAACCGCAAGGACATCAGGCTTGAAAAACTGAAGGGAGCTGCGGGGGAAGGGCGTGTGGATGGGCAGCTTTTCTGACATCATGTTTCGTAGACTAACTTTTCTGACAGCCCTGGCGTACGCTATTGCAAAAGGGAGACAAATGAAGGGAGACAAATGAACGGAGACAAAAAAAAGCAAACAAGGCGCAGAAGGGAGACAAATGAAAGGAAACAAGGCACAGACAAGACCGGAGAGACGGACACCGCCACTCAGGGAGACAAATGAAGGGAGACAAGGCACAGACAAGACCGGAGAGGCGGACGCCGCCAATCAGGGAAACACGTGAAGGGAGACAAATGAAGGGGGACAAATGAAGGGAAACAGGCAAGACCGGAGAGGTGGACACCACCACTCACAGACAAGACCGGAGAGGCGGACACCACCACTGAGGGAGACACATGAAGGTAGACACGTGAAGGGAGACAAATGAAGGGAGACGAGGCACAGACAAGACCGGAGAGGCGGACACCACCACTCAGGCAGACACATGAAGGGAGACAAATGAAGGGAAACAAGGCACAGACAAGACCGGAGAGGCGGACACCACCACTCAGGCAGACACATGAAGGGAGACAAAAGAAGGGAGACAAGGCACAGACACGACCGGAGAGGCGGACACCACCACTCAGGGAGACACATGAAGGGAGACAAATGAAGGGAGACAAGGCACAGACAAGACCGGAGAGGCGGACACCACCGGTCACAAAGAGGCGGAGACATCTTAAGAAAGAATTGAGAACCTCTAACAGTAAACTGTTTGGGGAAAAATCCACTTTAGATGGCCATTGAATGTGTATACCCTCTGGTAATAGCTGACATGACTATTGAAAATGGCCCATAGAAATAGTTGATAAAAACCAACTAATAGCATGGTGATTTTCCAGTTCGCTATGTCACAAATTACCAGAGGGTATAAACATTGCGAAACATTCTATTACACATCAACCATCAGCTAAGTATACTTATCATTGTTCTTATCATTGTTCTGATCCCAACCTTACTGAAAATGCGACCAGCAAAATCCATGGACAGTATGGCAAAACTGTTGGGATATATGATATAAACATAGTTATATAAATATTTTATTTAGATAGATTGCGCACACACAAATATATATATTAATCATATTATCATATTATATATATATATATTATTGAATAATTATATATCCTATTTACCTTCAAATCCCCAGGTGGTCTTCGACTGCTTTCCTCCGGACCATCCGCTCCGTGCACGGCGCTGGTGCTTCTGCTGCTGTAAGCGCAGGGGCAAGCGGCCGCACGTGCACCCGGAGCCTGCGACGCTGTCAATGGCTATCGAGGTAACCTACCGGGAGAGCATGGCGTTACCTCCCAGGCGAGACAAAAAAAGGCAAAAAGGAGCCAGGAAGCCACCGAAGTGGGTCATAACCATCCTGGAATAAACGAGTTTATATGTATCAATCAATCAATCAATCAATCAGTCAATCAATCAATCAATCAATCTATCTATCTATCTCTCTATCTATCTATCTAGCTATCTACCTAACTATCTATCTATCTATCTATCTATCTACCTATCTATCTATCTATCTACCTATCTATCTATAATCCTATCTAATCCTATCTAATCCTATCTAATCCTATCTAATCCTATCTAATCCTATCTAATCCTATCTAATCCTATCTAATCCTATCTAATCCTATCTAGTCCTATCTATCTCTCTCTCTCTCTCTCTCCCTCTATGTCTCTATCTCTCTACCTTTCTATCTTTCTATCTCTCTATCTATCTATCTATCTAACTTTCTATCTATCTAGCTATCTACCTAGCTATCTATCTATCTAATCCTATCTATCAATCTATCTGTCTATCTATCTATCCATCTATCTTTCTATCTATCTATCTATCAATCTATCTATCTATCTAATCTTATCTTTTCTTATCTTATCTAATCTATTCTAATCTAACCTAGTCTAGTCTAATCTAATCTAACCTAATCTAATCTAATTTAATTTATCTATCTATCTATCTACCTACCTATCTCTCTATCTATCTATCTATCTAACCCTATCTAGCTATCTATCTATCTAATCCTATCTATCTATCTATCTATCTGTCTATGTATGGATCTATCTATCTATCTATCTATTTATCTATCTATCTATCTATCTATCTCTCTATCTATCTATCTATCTAATCCTATCTATCCATCTATCTATCTATCTATTCTAATCTAATCTAATCTAATCTAATCCAATCTATCTAATCTAATCTATCTAATCTATCTAATCTATCTAATCTAATCTATCTAATCTATCTAATCTATCTAATCTATCTAGTCTATCTAGTCTATCTAATCTATCTAATCTTTTTTAACCTATCTAACCTATCTAGTCTATCTAATCTATCTAATCTTTTTTAATCTATCTAACCTATCTAGTCTATCTAATCGATCTAATCTATCTAATCTATCTAATCTATCTAATCTATCTAATCTGTCTAATCTATCTAATCTATCTAATCTATCTAACCTATCTAATCTATCTAATCTATCTAATCTATCTAATCTATATAATCTACCTAATCTATCTAATCTATATAATCTACCTAATCTATCTAATCTATCTAATCTATCTAATCTATCTAATGTATCTAATCTATCTAATCTATCTAACGTATCTAATCTATCTAATCTTTTTTAATCTATCTAATCTATCTAGTCTATCTAATCTATCTAATCTATCTTTCTATCTATCTATCTACCTATCTACCTATCTACCTATCTACCTATCTACCTATCTATCGATCGATCTATCTATCTATTTATCTATCTATCTATCTATTTATCTATCTATCTATCTATCTAGCGATCTATCTATCTATCTAGCTTCCTAGCTATCTATCTATCTACCTATCTCTCTATCTATCTATCTAATCCTATCTAGCTATCTATCTATCTAATCCTATCTATCTATCTATCTAATCTTATCTTATCTAATCTTATCTTATCTAATCTTTTCTTATCTAATCTTATCTTACCTAATCTTTTCTGGTCTAACCTTACCTTATCTAATCTTATCTAATCTTATCTATCTTTCTATCTATCTATCTATCTTTCTATCTATCCATTCTATTCTATTCTCTTCTCTTCTCTTCTCTTCTCTTCTCTCTTTTCTATCTATGTATCAAACATCCACATTCGAAGTGTACGTTGCTTCTGGGCTTTCCACGATTAGGGCCGCCCTGGGCCATCCAGGATCGAGTCCTTCGCCGAGCCCAAAGATCGTGTGGACGTGCGAGAGCTGATGCTGAGACCCCAGAAGGCCTTCCGCATCATCCTGGGACCCAAGACGCTTCGCCGCGACGACGTGTTGTGCTGGGACCCTGGAGGTCAGATGATGCTGACGATAGATTCGATAGATGATGATGATAATATAATGATGGCAGATGCTATACGATAATGATGGCATAATTGGATATAATTGGAAGATATTATACGATAATGATGGTAATATAATGATGGCAGATGTGAATCAGTAAGGGATTTTTGTTTTCCCCTCAATATCACCAAATGTTTTATGGGGATCTTCAGCCTGTCCACAGAGATCTGGAAAGAAGGGGGATTTTTGGCCAAATGGAAAACCTGGCTTGCCCCTGGTTCGAAATGGCCATAGTTCACTAGCCGATGGGGAAAACGATGCCATTCCCGATTTCAACACTGCCCATGGGTTGCAGGATGTTTGCACCTTTCCGGATTTTTTCCAAATTGAGAAATGCACCACTGGGGAAATCGTATTCAACCAGCTCCCGGCATCTAAGTAGCGCACAATTTTTATGCAATTTACTGCCTACTTCTCCTCCCATTTTTGTTTCTTTATAACCATTTTTCATAGTTACCATAGGATACATGGATACCACAGCCGGACATCGCAGGGATCGTAGCCAGGAATTTACGCCTGGTGAAGCATACCTGCTGTTGGTGTGCCTTCCTGATGGTAGTCCTCATCACCCTGGCGGTGGCGTGGCTCTTTATCCATGTCTTCGTCGTTCCGTTGAAGTGACCAACATTGAAGAGACGATGGAAACATCCCCCGGGTTTTGACAAAAAACGAAAACTTTTCAACCATTCGATTTTGAATTTTTGTTGGTGAGAATGGGAACTTATACTATTATATCTATATATCTATGTTTATGATCTATTATCAATCGATCTATTATATCTATATATTCTTATACACCACTAGTTTTGTGAATTTTGTCAGCATTCAAATCCAACCAGCTCCAGTTCAGGGATTTCCATCGGAATGGGACGGAATGGGTTGCTGAAGAGAAGGCCCCTAAAATCCAGTGCGAAAGAGATCGTTTTCCCATCCATTTTCCCATCCAAATTGCTGTTCAAAGGGATTTCTGGTCCGTTTTCAGGCAGGCTTCAGACCCGTTTCGTTGGTCTTTTTATTCCACGACCCAAAGCTGGGGTGGACACTGCGTTGGGGCCGTTGGGGGTCCAACGCCTTTGATTAATGACGGATGGGGCCCATCAGCCAGTCCCAAAAAGCTGCCAAAGGCAGCAACGTAAAAGACAACTGGTTGGTGCTTTCCATGAAATGATGATCACAATTATCACAATGATCACAATGATCACAGCTTATCGAGCACATAATAAATGTTTCGGTGGCCTAAAATTAAAACACCAACCAAAGTTTCCGAAAAAAACGTCTTGTAGTCACATTGCAAAGACGATGTGTAGGCCTAGGCATTGGTTTAGCGCTGTTTTCGACCAGCGCTTGCGGCCATGATAGCTGGATGCGCAATGTCGCCCAAAAAGGGACTCACAGGATTATGCTAGTCCGGAAACCTTGGTATAGATGGTTAGGTTGTGTTACTGTAGGTTGATGTTAGGTTGAGCAATAGTAAGCTATCCACAAATTTACCAAATCACAGGTTTGTAGAAACCATCCCAATTTGGGGATGTTAAAATTATTGGGTCGCCCACATGATTCGGTTGCTCACACTATCAAAGGGTTTCCAAAATATGAATCAAACAATTTCAGGTGCAGATCACCTGAGATGAGTGAAGGGACCACTTTGAACCACAGACAGATAGACCACTTTTTGGATGTGTTCGGCTGCAAGCCACATCAGGGCCGTTTCGGGTCTTGTTGGATTACCATCCGGCTTAAAATGTTGGCATTTTAAGCCCGACCATGGCCATGTGGGTTGACGTTTTGGGCTACAGAAAAAAAAATCATGACATGTGGTGGAGTTTCCACAGATTCATGGATTTCAGGGACATCTGAGAGGAAACCAGCCGTGTTTGTAAATCTCACTCGGATGAATCTCTGTGCAGCTTGGGCTCACAAGCCACCCACTAGGCCCTATGATTTTCCGCATGGAAGAAGAAGTCGCGGTGTTTTTGCAACACAGGGTGCATTTCAGCAGGATGGATTTTGTTTCCACCAAAAGTCATCAGACAAATTCACAAAAGATCCAGCGCTCGCAGGCAAAGGGCTGCCGACATGTCAGTTGAAGGATCATGGTGACAATCTTTTCCGATAAAGGATAGTGCTGGGGTATCGTTTGTGTTCGTTTAAAACCCATCAAAACACAACTAAATGACCATGAAAATCGAATTAAATCACCATTAAATCACCAGCATATCACCAGCAAATCACCATGAAAACCAACCAAACTGATCCCAAGTTCACCAATCATTGACGATCTCAACTGGTTACCATAGCTGACACGAGTGATTTTTGCCGCAAGCCGGGGGTCTCAGTTGAGGAATAGAAGAACTGAAAAACGGACACGGAAACAGCGGGTTATGATGATGATGATGATAATGATGATGATGTGCCTAGGGAGACTTGTATGGTGCTTTTGGATGGTTCAATAACTGTACACCTATTTGTTCCTTCAAAACATATGGAGAATCTCAATTTCATGACAATTGACGATGCTTTTTGTGATGACTCAACTGGAAAAAAACCGTCCGTAATGCAACACAAAGCGTATGTCTCGACGTTTTTTTCTGAGACACAAAGGCGTGGCTTTTCAGTGCTTTTCGGCCTGAGATGGCGTCCTTTATGTTCCTGCAGTTCATCAGCAACATGAAACCTGCCTACGAGGCAGGGGGGAAAACCCCTGGAAAAAATCTCATGGCGAAAAACGAAGAATCGCCCATGAATTAAAGTTCGTTTTTTGGTCAGAGAATCTCTAAGTTGGATTTCTTGAAAGTTGATGTCGAAGCTGCTTTACTTATGGGTACTTCAGGGGCGGAAGATTGCTCCGTGGGATCTCATGGTGAAATCCAAACCCGGTCGCCATTTTGACCAGGCTTCGGTCGCACAAATGTTGGGATTGCTGGGTGGGTCAAACCCTTGTTGTTGACAAAAATACAATTTGCTTCGCACTCGCATCTTACTCGTACTTCATAAGAGCAAATCCTTTAGTTAGCTGCTGAAGCATCTTGTGACTTTCACCTTCATTTTCTTCTCGAAATCCGGAGTTCCGAAGCCCACTTTTCTTGCTTTCTTCCCCTTTTTCTGTTGTCAAATCCCAATGATCCCAATGATCCCAATGATCAAATCCCAATGATCCAATGATCCAATGATTCCAATGATCCTTTCTGTTGCTTCAGTTTCAGTGATGAAATTCACGGTGCCGTTCCCAAATTCCTTCGGTGATGCCAACTGTTTGACCGCACCGAACTCCCGCAGAGCCGGGTGGACACCACGTGGGAAGGCGGCGCTGCTTTCTCCGTTTTTCAATGGCCAGGGTGGCTGGGAAGTCCATGGTGAAGTGAGGATTTTTAGAGATTTAACCATCATTCATGGAAGTTACCCTCTGGTAATTTAACATAACTATGGACTATGGAAAATCACCAGTATTAATGGGTAAATCAACTATAAATGGGTCATTTTCAATAGCTATGTTAAATTACCAGAGGGTATAACATGTTATAACTGACTTACAACCATCAAATATATATTAACACATGGTTGACGAATGATAGTCGATTGACGAGTATAGGGGATTATACTGATACTATGCTAACCAATATATTAGGGATTACCAGAGGGTAGCATTTTTTCGTGTGAAACAACTTCTTAGAATCGCTGGGAAAGTCTGACGAAGTTGCGCAACGACCTGGCTGTAAATATCACCTTCAGCTGGTTCTTCAAAGATCAGCTGAAAGGGTGGTTAGTGAAAGCCATGAGATGAAACTTGGAGGGACCCAGAAGTGGTTCATGACCCCATCACAACTTCAATCTTTTTGAGTTGGTCAAGGTCTGTACTTGTGCATCCTGGACAATATATCCCTCCATTCCATATCCACCTGCCTAAGTGTCCAATAATGACTGGAAGAAGTTGTATCAAAGTAGAGCTAAGTTTTTTTTTTTAAATGGTTTTAAATGGTCGAAATTGGGCCCACCATTGAATTCTTCAGGTTCCCCTTCGGGTTGCCATGCTGAAAAATTGCTCAAGCACGGGCCTGGTCATGGAGTCCATGCGACCATAGTGCCATAGTTCAGGAACTTCTGAACGGCTCCAGCTGAGACATACAGATGAAGTTCAACTAAGGTTTTCTGCCCCTTGGAAAACCTTACAACCAGCAGATTAGATTTTATGGAATACTTTCAGATCGATCTCCAAGACTCGGGGACTTGCGATCACACCAGATGATCCAGTCATCGCTCAGTGTGCCAGGTCCCAAGTTGCAAAAAGTTTGGGCAGACATGGAGCAGAAATGCTGGGAAACGATGCTTGAACTGCACTTGGGATCACTCGTGTACGTGCGGATTTGTTGTTTTTTAGTTCCCCGAAAAATCACATGGGAGTTTTTGTTGACAATTGCAAGTGCGGTTTCTGTGGTTTGGGGGGTCCAAACCATCCGTAGTCGCCGTTTTTTATGCTTCGTTTTTTTTTTTTGGGTTGGTCGGTTGGTCATTGGTCGAATTCAATGATTCCTCGACCTGACCCAAACTGAATTGAATTGATGATTGGATCATATTGGTTATTATTGGTTATATATTGACCAACTCAATTCAATGATGGTTATATATGGTTATATATGGTTATTATTGGTGATTGGATTGGGCAGGTGCTCCAGCCAGTCCAGCCACCTGAAGATTCCCTGTTTGGGACTTGTTGTGGCAAGTCCCTTGAGGTATTTGGATGAAGCCAATGATGATTTCAAGGGAGTCAGGCACCCAATGAAAAAACCCGTCAAACTGGGTCGAAATATGTCAACATTGGCCCAGTTTGAAACACAGATTCTCAGATCGGCTGAAGAGTCTTTGGATTTTTGCAGGTATTCAGAGTCCATGTGATCTGGCCCAAACTTTGGTTCTCAAAATGACGCCATGTGAAAAACCCAGAAGTTTAAGAGTTAAGAAGATGATTCAGAATATTCAACACGATTTTTCAGATCTCAGATGAAATTCACATTCCACTTGGTCATAGGATTTAAGATCAAGCCGGTCATCATTGGTTGAGTCCGCCACCGTGCCGGGTTTGGCTAGGCCATGCTCGCTCTGAGGTGCATCCTTACCAGAAGTTGAAGAACGAGGCGAAGTGGGCTTTCCCATCCAACCAAAACAAGAGGGGGAGGAGATGTCATGGGGATTTCCCATCGGGGATTTAAAGATTTCAATAGGGGATTTTTACTGGGATTTCATGGATTTAGCTACCAACAGCATGAACATCCAGACATGGCTCCTGTGATGATCTGGCTTCAGGTTCCAGGATTGCCCAGGAACGCCTGAATGTATGCATGGGGGTGGTAAGAAACATGTCAGACATGCCAGGAAGGAATCAAGAAAGCTACCAAGCTTGAGATTGGTAGCTTCTGGCCTTTGACCATATTATACCATATTTCACCGAATTCGACGAGAAACTCCAGGATTTCTTCGACTCAAAAATCTGGTGCTCGTTCCGAGAGCTGATTTGCCAATTTCTTTGATGAAAAATCTACCAGTGGATATATGGAGGTTTCCTAAAATGGAAGTTCCCCATGGGTTTATTTCATGGAAAATACAATCTATAAATGGATGAGAACTGGGGGTACCCCCATGACTTAGAAAACCACCATATGGTGTAATTTCTCTGTCCCTGTCCTCATGAGGGTCATCCCTATCAATGTCTGCCACGAAGTCATGAATACATCACACATACAAAAACTAGATAAAACTAGTTTTTTTTTTTTGTGGGGGGGTACCCTCAAGTAAACCAGCGCTGTGGAAAAGCCACCAAAAACTACGTCCAAGTCGTTTTCCCGGAACCGGTTTTTTTTTGCCCACGAATTTCGCGCCATTGAGGTGAGTCAATGCAAACTCGTCATCAAGCAGGACAACCGTCGAGATGTGAGCACGGGAATTCGAGATTTATTCATCAATTGCAGTGAGATGTATACCTCATATATATATATATATATTATATATGAGGTATACACACATATATATCATATATACATAATATATATATATTGAATGCGTATACATCATAGAATATCTGTACACTCACTGTACAGGTAAGTCAACACTAGTTACTAGTTACATTCCAATCTAGCTTCGGGAGTCACACCCATGTCGCTTGAAGCGACCTGTAGATGAACTGGTTGGCTTCGTGGATTTCCCAGCGGCCCGCCACATTTGATGACACGGCTTAGTGTTAACTATAGAGGGTACCTTGATTGTAATATAGATGTTTTTTTTTTAAAAAAATAATTAAATATAGTGGTATATGGTAACTAATATTTTCGTGATTATCAATGATATGGCAACTAGTATGGTATATGGTTTATGGAAACTAATATGGTAATATTATAGTGGTATATGGTAACTCATAGGGTAACTAATTATCAATGTTCCATCGGTCCATCGCGGAGAATCAGAACTAGGCCCCATTGAAGGTTTCATGGTAGAATCCCATTGAAATAACCAGTTATTTCTTTTTTAAATGGCCAGAAGTCCAGAAGGGGATGAGTCAAAACCTAAAAAAACACCGTATGTTTTGGGAAGAAACATCCATTCACCAGCTATTTTGGAGGACCATACCAGGGTACCGGTACCAGGGTTTTGACCCATAACCATAGATTATCATAGATGATCATGCAGGATCATGACTCATCCTAGATCATCCTATTTCTGAGTCAGATTTATGGCAACCTCACGTCGAGACGAGGTAAATGATCGTTTATCCCCATTGTATCCCGATGACATTCCTCATCCCATGATATTCCAGTACATCAGATACATCCTATTAGATACTATACTATCATCAAAAAACATCCTATATCATCATTACTTCTCAAATTCATCATACTATATGTACATCCATGTACATCCCATGATATTCCATCATACATCTTAATACCATCATAGATCACCATATCCAGGTACTGCAGGAATGCACTCAGCGGATTGTGGACTACGCCAAGGAATGCAACACCAGCAGGAGTGCCGTCGTGGGGTTCGGGTCCCATCCTACGCACCGCCCCCCAAGCCATGGCCACTGGGAAAATCCATGTGAAAACGATCGACCATTTTCAGACAACCCCGCTGCTGCTGTTTTTTTTTCTCTGAGGATATCAACAAAACATGGCGTTGATTATAGAGATTGAGTGGGAAAATTTAGCCGGGGTTTACATGGGGAAACGTGGTGAGATTCGATGGATTCAAGCCACCAAGAAGACTTGTTCATGATTGAACGAAAAAACCTGGATATTCGAATCCAATATTTAGTTGCTGAACATTTTTTTCGGAAATCATGGTGGATTTCTCACATCTTTTTTTTCCAAAACCCTGCGACTACGAATTATGACCATATTATAACCTTTCAGGCCATATTCTAGAGTTTTAACTCCACTATTTTAGATTGAGTGCCACTTCGGCCATAGCAAGTGCGGTCGGAATGTGCATTGATCGGCTTGCTTGAGGAGTGCTGTACTGAAATTGGACGGCACCAAATTGGTGTGGATCAAAATTTAATGGGCGTATCTTGTGGGTACACAAGTGTGACTCATACCCAAATAATTACCTAGGTTGAAAGCAGCAAGGTACTGTAACTCAATAATTTTGACTTAAACATTTCGCAGCAAATGTTATCCAGCAGTTATATCCAGCATTTGGGCGTCTCTCAAGCCCTAGCAGCCCTAGCATTCACCATTCCAATGGTCCAACAATGGTTCAACTTTGGCGGAAACCAGTGGCCTTTGGCCTTGAAGTTCAACATGATTTCCTTGTCACCGCAGGGCTCAGAGTCCGAACGCCCGTTTTTTTTAAATGTTTTTTCAAGTCTATATAATATCATATAATATCTCTATTTAGAAAAAAACATGGTTGGACAAATGGTGGAAATTGGTTTTCCGCATCGGATCGTTTCTAGTTTTTGTTGAAGCTTTTGAGGAGAAAAGTTGCTAGTGCTGCCACTGGACGGACTGCCATGTTTCTGCTTTCTGCGCTCGATCAATGAAGAGGGGTGATTTGAGATGAGGTAATGCCAAGTCCATAGCCTCAAATGATGTCTACTTTCCAGGAAAATGGCTGTGTCTCAAGAATGATAGGATTTGTCGGGGCATACCACCGTTTGATTGATTAACCTGTGAGAAAGTGCCCAATTTCGGAAAGCCGTACTTTTTGCAAAGGAAAAACCTTTGGAAAAACCATGGGTTTTCGATGGTTTTCGGTCAACAAAAATCCTTCGGTCACCAATGGACCAATGCATTGAACACCACCTGGGAGGATGGCTAGCCATGTTGCAGCAAAAAAATCGCAGCGTCCCGGGGTGGCCAGGTAGAAGCTGAGAAGGACAGTGGACCGCTGGAAGGTGCGCCAGGTATCCCCAAGGATTAGGCCGCCATGGCCCTACAGTTATGTTACCCCACTGTAAATCGTAGTTATAAAGTAATTTACCTATACTGGTTGGTGGTTTCAAACATTTTTTATTCCCCACCTGCCAGGTGAGGGTTGTTAGATTTTATGTCAGTTGCCTCCTCGTCCTCCTCCTCGTCCTCCTTCTCCTCCTCCTCCTTCTCCTCCTCCTCCTCCGCCTCGTCCTGCCTCGTCCTCCTCTCCTCCTCCTCGTCCTCCTCGTCGTCCTCGTCGTCCTTGCTCAACTGCGACCCGCGATCCACAGTGTTCTCTGCCGGACCTCAACCACGACCATCCACGCCCAGTGTTCCCTGCCGGACCTCAACCACGACCAGCCACGCCCAGTGTTCCCTGCCGGACCTCAACCACGACCATCCGCGCCCAGTGTTCCCTGCCGGACCTCAACCGCGACCATCCGCGCCCAGTGTTCCCTGCCGGACCTCAACTGCGACCATCCGCGCCCAGTGTTCCCTGCCGGACCTCAACCGCGACCATCCGCGCCCAGTGGTCCCTGCAGGACCTCAACCGCTCTTCTGACATATCTTCTGACATTTTATTTGACATTCTATCTGGCATATCTTCTGGCATATGATCTGGCATATCTTCTGGCATATCTTCTGGCATTCTATCTGACAAATCTTCTGGCATTCTATCTGGCATATCTTCTGGCATTTTATCTGACATATCTTCTGGCATTCTATCTGGCATTCTATCTGGCATATCTTCTGGCATATCTTCTGGCATGCCTAATATATAGCCAAAATATGTCAGATCGAATGCCAGAAGATATGTCAGAATATATGCCAGAAGATATGCCAGATTGAATGCCAGAAGATATGTCAGATAGAATGCCAGAAGATATGCCAGATAGAATGCCAGAAGATTTGCCAGATAGAATGCCAGAAGATATGCCAGAAGATATGCCAGATCATATGCCAGAAGATATGCCAGATAGAATGTCAAATAGAATGTGTGTCAGATAGAATGCCAGAAGATTTGCCAGTAAGAAAATGTATAAATGTCATGGTGGGGATCACACGAAGTAAAGTAATTTTCCATAATATATGGGATAATCCTTCCCATTGACTTAAAACCACCAACCAGAATAGTTTGGCGGGGGCCTTTCTGCATGACATGATGAAAGTCCAAGATACTCATCGAAAAATTTTCATCTGATCAGAAAGTGCTTGATCAAAAAACATGCGAGGTGTCTAAGCACTTGATCCTTTCTACAGGTTAGTCCACTGGGGCATTACTGTATATACATGATTCAACGTTGGACGAGATGGCAAGAGGTGGCTGCAACCGTGGAGCGTACATGACGATCCATTTGCAATCCATTTACGATGACTAGATGACTAAATCCCAAGATTTTTGCTAGATCCCGATGTAGCCCCGCAAATTTGTTGCTGGATCTCCCCTATTTTTTGTTGTGGATAGCCTGGTGTATAGTCCCAGCTCATGGCAGGACACCTGGATATAGCTGGAACTGGTTTGGATAGCTGACAAACTCTCCAGCTTTGGGTAGGTTTTGCCGCAGGAGTCCAGCGAGAATCGACAGGAAACATCAGGAAACCATGGGTTTTTTGTCCCTGATGTCTGGTACTGTTGCCACGGTCCCGCAGGTTTTCGCTGTGCTGATGTGCCCAACAGACAGCTGTGGAAAAATTCATGACGCTTCTTCGTTGAGCCAACAGCAATTCAGCACAAAAAAAAAACTGCGTGACTGGCAGCCTTTCATCTCAGCAAGGGAAGGACTGGCAGCAAATGTGAGGTTGCCTGACCAACAAAGACATTGGGCTAGTAGACTCTAACCATGTTATGGGGACATTTCGCGGTGATATATACGTATATATATATTATGTATGATTATATATATATATATGTATAATATAGATATGATTCGGGTTTGTCCAACAATAAGGGAATTGCATCCAATTCATTGCCATTTTGATGGACACCATGATGATTTACTATTGACTTTTTGGGTAATTACTATCCTTATTTTCAGACAAACCCATATGGTATTAGTAAAGCCAATAATCTCACACTTTTTTAAAAGGGTATGGGAAATTGGGTATGGGATTGCTGTGTTTACAACAGCCAAACTGGTTTGCAGTGAAGGAGACCCAGAACCCAGCATACAAGCCATATCGTCCAAGTACTACCACCCCGTATTTCCACTTGCTGACCTGACTGGCTGGTGTCCTTGTAGATTCTGCCTACTAAACATGATGATTTTCCATAGCTACGTCATAGCTACGTCACATTGCCACAGGGTGATGTATCCAAATACCACATATTTCAGGCTCAAGAATTGAAGATCTGCCAATGTTCTGCGGTCAATCTGTACGTAGCCACAAGGATTCGCCTCAACCAACATATAGCTCCTATTCCAATAGAACCCCGGAACTAAGTTAGAATATGTGAGAATTATGACAAAAATCACATGTTGGTTGATGAAATGGCAGTTTTGATAGCTTAGAAAACCACATTTGTTGCGGAAGCCACTTTCCGGGAATGGCACCTGATGTCGCAGCAAGGTGCGGAAAAAAAAGACATGGGGCCAATGACATCACGATAGCACCAGAATGCGGGCCTAGAAGGGCATCATCATGGATTTGGGGTGCTTCCTCAATCCAAGTTTATTATATATACAATTATGATACATATATATATATATGATATATATATATATCATATATATATATCATATATATATCATATATATATCATATATATATCATATATATATATATATATATATATCATATATATATATATATATCATATATATATATATATCATATATATATATATCATATATATATATATGATATATATATGATATATATTATATATATACACTATTGATATATATATATATATATTATTGTATGCCTACATATGTTTTTTCCCGGACATCAGCAATTGGTTGGCGCTTTCAAACATACTTCGGACTTTTTTTCCTAGGGAGAATGATCTGCGATGATTGAGATGAGCAATACTCAGCATAATCCCTGCAGAACGAAGCCTGACCCCTCAAACCCAACCGGAAGGATATTCAAGTTGTGTGTATAGTGAAGAAAGCCGGAGTTTTTCTCCGGCAATTATATTTATTGATATATATATATATACTCATTGATATTATATATATTATATATTATATTGCATGTTTCTCCCGTTTATCACAAGAATTCGTCCAAGAGGTTACTTCGCTTGCCAGGCACGCGGTTGCCGGGCCCGGACGAGCGACCCCTGGTCGTCCGGGGACTCGATGGCCAGGTAGAGATCTCGAAGCTCTTAAAAAAAAGGATGGGAAAAGTCACTGATTTCATCTGATTTCACTGTTTGATTTTTCTGACTTGAGATTTGAATAGTTTTGAAAATAGTTTTGATTGATTTTTGCTGAATTACTATATATTTATCTTGACTTTTACCTACTGATTGATTGGGAAAGTTATTGAGATTGTTGATTGATTTTTACTGATAGAAATCTGGTAGCAAGTTGCGAAACTTTTTTTTGTACGTTATCTGAAAATGAGAAGTAAATCCCACTTGTCTTATTGTCACTATTTACAGTATAGGTGTTTTTCCTTTTCTGACTTCTACAGTTCCATCTTTTTTTTGGGGTTAGTAGAGGTGCTCGACTCTAACCACAATGGGCTGATCCAGCAGAATGGTTTTCATGAGTTACCCCAATTCAGAGGATAATAGTTACATCCCATTCATATCCATTCATATCCATTCATGTATTCCTACTGTACATGCGCAAACGCGTATAATTAATTGTTTTCTTTTCCCAACAAGCCACATGATTTTGTGTAATGAGGTTATTGGGATTCACCCCAGTGGAAAAAGGGACAGATTTTTTCTGGGTCCAAAAGCTATATCTGCAAGCTATATCTGGTATAACAATTTTTTACACATAATGAAGCAGAATCAACCACCTATTAATTTATATATGGTGTTACCAGATTATAAAATAACCATTACCATATTATATTTTCACCACCACCTATTAAACCATATACCCTCCGGTAGTCAAACGTGCCAATGGAACATCTCCAATAGGGACTTCCCCAAGTTCCCCAGCGAGAAACCTTCATTTTGGTTGTGGATTTTCCAGCCAGCCACATTCGATAGCCAGACATAGCTATGGGAGAATTCTCCATGGATGTCCCGAAATATTTGCCTATGATTTTCATGGTGATTGGAACCAATTCGCGATGTAAGAAGTGACCAGAGAATAGCAACCGCGGGTCAATGGCCATGATGAAGCGGAACCGATTGATTATATTGATTGGAGGTACCTACCATATATGTTAGGTATATTTTTCCTAAAATTCAGGGAATATAACTCCAAGATATGGCCAAACATATGGTACTAACGTACCTACATTGGGGGTGACGATAGGTGTCGATTGTGACCTTGGACTACTACCTTGCCAGGTGCCTATGGGATGACTTTGACGTAGAACACCTTTTTTTTGGCCAAGAAAAATGATCGAAACGCAGAAAAGACCTGGAACATATGGCAAAAACATACTATAGTTATCTATAATTTATATATATATACACATAATCTATTGTAATCTATAGTTGATAATTTATAATCTTCATAATCTAGATCGTACTGAAACTTTGGGCATCTGAAATTTTAGGCTGAAAATACCACCGAGGGGACACCTGGAAAAAAAAGGGAAACAACAACCCATCATTTTGGAGCATCATTATCCCGATGGTCAAAAATGAATTTTCGGCATCCTTGCAGGGAGCAGGGAAACAAAACTCCATTTTACTTAAGGATATTTTACAACAATTTTGGGCTAACCCCCCATTTTTTTTGGGGGGGTCAGGGTGAGTTAGTCCGAGGTTGACGATGGGTTGACGATGTGGATAATATAATTGCTCTACCTCCATTTATGTTTTAGGGATTTTGGGATTTTGGCAGTATCAGTACTAGTTTAATCAAAATGGAATTCTTTAGCCGACAAACACCAGAACGATTTTAGTGACAAACATCAGCGGTGTGGTGAGTTTTGGAGTGACTCCTAAAAGCGGGGTACCATTTTGGACCCACATTTGGGTTTGTTCCCTTAAAGATAATTACATTTTGTTGTACCAAGCCCGCCATTTTTGTTGAGCTGACCACAAAATCAACTGCTGAGCGCAGAAAAGACAGAAATTTCAGGATTTTGTTCGCCATACCTGGAGAAGAGACAGAAAGAAGTTAGGGGTTAATGTCATTGGTGTATAAATGTCATGTCGGGATGGTTAATGTATGTTAATGTCAATATTGTAACAACATGACCAGTGGTCGTTAATGCCAAAATGTCAGGGGGGACCCATTGACAGTATAAAGCGCCTTTTTCCCGAAGCCACCAGTGATGTCAGTCGGCACATGAAGCCACAATTGGCTTCCTGGTGCGGGTAGGGAATAAATGGGGAATCACCATGCCATGCTGTGGATTTTGAATTGGATCATTGGATCAATCCAATCTTCCATAATATCAGTGCCGTATAATGATTAATGGCCATAGGTTGTTCGTTGATTCAAAAACCCATGAAAAGTGTTTGGTGATTTTCCATATAGTTATGATCCAATCCCAAAACGGCGCCAGGCCGGGCCCGGGAGATTCAGAGCTTGCCAGATGTTCAGGCATGGAAGAGTTGGGCGGATGCCAAGAGCTGGGCGGATCATTTCTGAAAAAGAGCATTACTGGTGCTCAAAACTTTGAGTAGATCATAGTATAAATAGTATAATTACAATATAGTATAATATAGTATAATATAGTATTTATATACTTATACTCATTTCGATCGATGGTCATCGATCCATGTATAGTTTTTTTTTGCCTTGCAAGGATTCCAGTGTGGATGGATGAGCATGCCCCATATAACTTGGAAAAATCAACAGCTTTCGCACGTTGACAGCGCTGCAAGCTTGGCCGGAGGCAAAAAGTTGCGACAGGTCCCAGCAAGTGTCCCAGTGAGAGAATGAAGAGACTGGGTCAAGCAACTGGTGAATGGTCAAGGAACTAAACAACAGGATCGAGTTCTTTGAGCAAAAAAGAACAGCTTAACTGTTCTGCAGCATAAACTCGCCAGTCATCATACGGATGTTTGGCGCAGAGATGTTCGTTTCCAAACCGTTGTTGATGAAGAAAGAGGAGTACACCCCATTGTTTGTAAGGTACATTCAGTATTGTTCAAACTGGCAAGGTAGTTGTAGTAAGAGAAGCTGAAGTGGAACCACAGTAGTGCAACGGGGCTAGCATCATCTCAGAATAGGCAGGACAACCATCAATATGGCTGAACCATCATAAGTTATGGTAGAACCATATTTTAGAACTATTTTTTTCTGTACTGCTTGAATTGGTTCAAAGGAACATCTATATATATATATATATATACTGTATATGTATATATATATATATACACATAGCTGAAAACCCTAATTTGGTGGTAATTTGGGCAAAATCCATGGTTGTTGGCTAAGATTTTTCCTTAAACCGATCTAATTGTACAAAAAAAACACAGCAATGTTTGATCCACCACAGCAATTTGAGGTGATACGAATCTTCGGGCATACTCCGACAGGACAGACTGCGTGTATCTTGGCGCACTTCGAAGTGACTGAAACCACAGACTTGAACCAGAAAAGCAATCGAAACTGGAACAGTTGTGAGAAAAAGGGAATATTTTTCAGCAGCAACAGTTTGGAAAAATGGAATTAAGCCAGCTATCCCCCATGGGTATGTGGGTAGGGTGTCATGGTGCAAATCTTGGACCCCAAGATAATCACAGAAACCCAGGGTGACTCCTTTGCAGGGGGAACTTCTTGATGACCGTTATCAGCTCGCATTTTAAGGGCGGCAAAAGACAGATTTCATTAATGTCTTGTTCAAGTGAATGTAGTAAAGCCAACAGCAAAGCAAGTGCAATTTCACGAAACCAGATTTCAGCATGTCGTGGGCATTTCGTAACCCTGAAGTGTTTCAGATTCCTGGGAGTTTCAATGCTTGGATTCTTGAATTAATTTGACATGAAGAACAAGTGGGTTTATGACCCAATCATCGGGTCTCCGGTCAGATGTAGCACCAATAGGGGTTGCGTTCCTGGCGTTCTAGCTGCAGGTGTTCACGTGCACGGGGTCTTTCCCTTCTTCTACATCAAGGTTGGGAGTGAACATTGCGAGTTCGCTGCAAAGAAGGCATGAAATCATGGCCTGAAATCATGGTTGGTTCGGGTTCATAGTGGGGATGCCGTTTTTCGTAGTTGGTTTCAAGGGGATTATTCCAGGACTTATAAAAATCCCTATCGTTTCGGATGCAACTATGGGAATCAAATCCAGACATGATGTCATGATGCTTGAGGTCAAAAAAAACTAGCAAGTTGAAGGGGAATTTTTCTCAAATTGGGTTAAACATGGTTAAACAAAATCATGAACCTTCCATTTGGGTTTGGTTGTAGGTCTTCCCACATCCCCTTAAGTTGATGGAACATGTTGGACCCCCAAAACGTAGGTGTTGGAGAAGAAAAGCTTAGTTGGACATGGCTGTGCCATGGGGTTCCGTATGTTAAATTTAGTGCGTGTACTTGGATGTGAATCCCAGTTTTTTTTTTTTTTTTCGAAGCTGTTGTAACATATTCATAACATTTCAGAAATCAAAAGCCAGTCAATAGATCTAGAGTATACCCCACAGATCGCAGAAACGGAAACGACCTGAAACGGATCGTCAGGTCCCTCCAGATCTCGTGGAGAACGAGGCGGGCGCCAGCTTCGTGCTAGCGACAACTTAATGCCAACCCCCGATTAATAAACCCTTAGACTGTTTTACCATTTTACTAGCAGATTATCACTATGTCACTATGTATTTGGGGTGTAGTAATTAATCAACGATGGTTTGCTGTTTACCGTTTGTTAATCTGGGGTTGACATTCGCGATGGAATGATTTAAATGTTAAGATGTATATGTGTATATATATATAATAGATGGCTTTTCTCCACATCATGTAGGTGTCAGTTGTGTAAATCCTCTTTTTCGCGTGTACAAAAATGGGGCACAGCCTCACAAGTGTCAGTTTATAGGGAACGTGTTTTTTTAAAGAACAGGATTTATTTTTCGGGTATTGTGGTAAACTCAACTTAAAGAATCGACGATTTGGGGAAGTTGATTATACCACCCACTAAGTGGGTTATTTTGGGGATGGTTATTGTGTTTCCATTTAGCCAATCGTGAGACCAGACTCAAATGCATTTGGCACAGGATTCCTTTCTTCACAGCCTTGCAGAAGGTCTAGAGAAGGACGCTGGGGCTGGGGATGGAGGCCAAAATGAGCGAAAACTGAGACTAAAGTGACTAAAGTGACTAAAGTGACTAAAGTGACTAAAGTGACTAAAGTGACTAAAGTGGCAAAGCCCATGCCATAAAGAAACTCAAGACTATCACTGCATGATTTTTTGGGATGGGATTTCAACCATCCCGACATGGTAACCCCGAAGGGATTTCTGGTGGAGCAGATTTCGACCTGGCATTCGGATGATGGCCATGAACAAAATTCGGCCCACTGATCATTCATGATAAATGAATACTTATTACCCAAAAAACAACTGGGAAACCAAAATTGTAGCCATACAAAAGCTGTATTGTTTAGGATTATCATAGAAATCAACCAGAATAGGATTCATGAGATTCCCCTCCAAAATCACCATAGGTTTAACCAATGGGTCCAGCACTTTCAAAAGGCCCAAGGCGTTGACCTATAGCTATAGCTATGTACCTCGATCCCACGCTGCCGATGACAGTGGCAAGGCCATGACAATGCACCAGAGCGCCGTCTCCCCTTATGGTGTCCGCGATCCTACGGCCGCGTGACCGGGAGGGTCACCTGGGGATTGGCTCGAAAAACGGGCTCCGTTGTGGAATTCTGGTGGTTGATTGTCAGCGGTTTTTTATAAAATGTCCATCGTTGACAGCATAAATCTCTGGAGGTGGTGAAACATATGGATGTGGGTCAAAATGGACCACAGATGTTAGTCTAGTTTAGTATTAACCATCCAATTATTGGGGTACCTAATTTTATACCCATATTGATCAATGTTGGACTGGGAATCTTGCCTTGGAGTCGAACTGATTCACCACTGATTCACCACATGTTTGGTGAATCCGGGACCTGTTTTGAACTAAGTGAAGAAAACCTATAACTGGCTGACATCATAACAAATTATGTTTTTCGGAAAGGGAACCACAAAAAAGACCTTGTCGTTTTTATGGTTGTGTCTGAACACGGGGCAAAAACCGGGTATACCCCTATAAAATATGGCCATTTAGGAGGGACAACGTTGTCAAGCCACTGGATTGGATGTTTTTCAAATAGCGGCTATGAACAAGAATTAACCCTGAAAGTCACATCTGGGGTTGAAATGCACTATACATATATGTATATATGGGTATGGATCAATACCTATTAATACCATTTTTAGGGGGATGAACATCCATTTACCAGCTATTTTGATGTTCACCAGGGGTACAAGGTTATGACACACTGCCATATAATTCCCCATATATATATATATTGCATGTTGGATTTCCGGGAGTATGGGTATCAAATATGCAGGAGCCGAGAGAAACTGAAGCGGGGAAATCCCGTTCCATTTAGCAATGGCTTACTCTGTAGTAATCAAATATGGCAATGGAAAATCCACCATTTGTAGGTGATTTTCACATTAAAATATCTCCATCGATGGGACAATATGGAGCATTTCCATTGCCACTTTTGATTACCAGAGGGTATATCCGGATGATTCCATAGTTTCTTTTTCTCCACCTACTACGTCCATAAATTTCCTTACATTTATAATGGGCAGAAACACCCAGCCGATAACCGCATTTAGACAATTGGAAAAAAATGTAACCGCATCATGAAGTCCTGCAGATTTCCTATATGAGTAGATCACCATGTATGGTTGCGAATGGGTTTCCAGGTAGTTCTGCAGTTCCCCTGCTTTGAGCTGCAGTTTCACTCTTTAAAACCAAAGAACTGCTGGCAAATTTCTCCACTTTTTGCTGTTTAATATCGAATATTCTCCTCTTTGTTGGTGAATATTTTTGCTTTTTTATTTTTGGTTGTCCCGTCCATTTTGATGGCAAAATCCCGTTTCTCCGTCAACACTAAACCTCCCATTTCTATCCGCATTGTTATTCCTTTTCTTGTATCTAAACATAGTAAACTCATGGGAGCAGCTCCCATCTGTTCGTAGCCAACATGCCAGGTACGTCTACGATCTTCGCTGGGTTGAAGGTTGGGGCTCCATCTATGGCGCCAAAGCCGACGCCGGAAACGACAGCGACGGAAACGCCACGCGTTTCGTCCAGCTCTGGGCCACGGTGCCGCAGCATCCGGCGACCATGGCGCATTTGTTGCAGCAAGGCGCCGTCATGTCCAGCTCCTTCCAACCATTTGAGGCCGCGCCTTTTTTTCGCTGTGTGACTGTGCTGGAGATGTTGAAAGATTTCTTGATATACCAACTATGTCATAACTATGTTGATATGAACATCAAGGTTCAAGTCGGGGCCTCCCACAGTGGCTCTGTGAGGAGGGACTACAAAGGAAACTTCCCTAAAGCTGAAATTGTTATACTAGACTATTTTGTTTATTTTGAAAGGTTCACTAAAATGCTAGAGCGTTGTCACATAGCCAAAGCCAGTTTTGCAAGTTGGAACAAAACACATAGGAAATAATAAACATCAAGGCTGATGCTTCGTCAACAAAGCACCCTATTTCACAGACTCCATCAGTATTCAGTATTCTTCGGTGCATGTTGTATTGCAGTGCGTTTTGAACCTATCATTCCCAGTCATTCCATTTTTTTCTCCAGTGATACTGATGCCGCAGTGAAGTGAGCTCAGATCGGCTTCCTTTAGTATTTTCATAGCGCTCAGCGCTTTTTTTCTTTGGCAATGGGAGACCTGAGCCTGGTCCATGCTCTTGGTTTGGAGCTTCCTTCCAAATCGCTCCGGGAGCGTTTCGGAGATCGCTTTTTGGAGCCCGCCCTTCCGGTGATTCGCCGCCGGCAGTTTGCCAACGCCGCCCAGGCGGCGGCGCTGGCCGGCAACCAGGCCGCTAACAATGCCGCGAGGAACCCGCTTCCAGAAAGAAATGCCGTGGAGGACAGGGGTTGAGGTTGCAGAGCCACTTTCACGTTGGATATTCCTGAGGCTTGTAAGTATAGGCTTATATAACATTATATAACCCGCAACATGAGGGTGTAAAACCAACAAGAAAAACGAGGGATGTATATTATCAAAGGAAGTTGGGAAGCAAACCTTCCGAGTTACGGACGACTGGAATAGCAATAACAATATGTGCACAACAATACACTTTTGAGACTATCACACAACATCACATAACACCACATCACACAATATTACATCACATAACACTACATCACATCACACAACATCACATAACACTACATCACACAACAATACATCACACAACAATACATGACATAACACTACATCACATAACACTACATCACACAACAATACATCACATGCCACTACATCACATAACACTACATCACATAACACTACATCACATAATACGACACCACATAACACTACATCACATAACACTACATCACATAGCACTACATCACATAACAGCATCACACAACACTACATCACATGACACTACATCACACAACACTACATCACATAACATTACATCACACAACACTACATCACACTACATCACATAACAGCATCACACAACACTACATCACATGACACTACATCACACAACACTACATCACACTACATCACATAACAGCATCACACAACACTACATCACATGACACTACATCACACAACACTACATCACATAACATTACATCACACAACACTACATCACACTACATCACACAACACTACATCACACAACACTACATCACATAAAAATACATCACATAACATTACATCACAAAACAATACAGCACAAAACAATACATCACAAAACAATACATCACATAAAAATAAGTCGCAGTGTAGTGGCTGCGTGAATGTTGCATGGGACTTGTGTTGGGGAGGAAGCCGGAGCACGAGACCTTGTGTTTTTTCCGTGTAAAGTGGCTGCAGCCGGCGATGAAGGGCAGCTTGTGTGTGCGGCGGGTGCGTGTACGCTCGTTTTGATGTTTTTTGGTTCCTCCATGGTGTTCTGCACTGTGTGTTTCTTCGTGCGAAGTTCTATGCCCTTGTGGAATCCCTGGTTGCAAATCGCGCAATGTAATGGCTGCATGATTGTTGCCATGTTCTGTTCCGTGTGCGTAGATACATGCGGGTTTGCCACGTGATGCTGCAAAACGCATTGTATAGTGGCTGCATCAATGTTCCTCGCTGCTGCGGCTGTTTCCATAATACATACTATTGCCTTTTGCAGCTGAGGTTCTTGAATCGTATTGGAGTGGTTTCTCAGTTTTGGCGCTGGTGATTTTTCTTTCAGAAGGACCTTTAAAAAGGGCTTCAAAATCGTTCTTTTTTCGCTTTGGCGCCGAGATCCGGTTTTGGAGCTGCAATTTCTCCTGTCATTATTTGCAAGAAAGCTCATCTGTGTAAAAGCTTCTTTCTCTAAAAGCTTGCTGTGTGTGAAAAGTCTTCTGTGTGTAAAAAAACTTGCTGTGTGAGTGTAAAGGCTTTCTTTGTGTCAAAGCTTCTCTGCGAAAAAGCTTGCTGTGTGTAAAAGATGCTGTGTGGAAAAGCTTGCTGTGTGTACAGGCTTGATGTCTATTGGGACGTACTTTGTGCAAGCTTTGTAGTGCAAACGAAGTGCCTTGTGCAAGCTTTGTAGTACAAAGTAGTACTGGGAAGTAAATTGGGCAAGCTTTGTAGTACAAAGTAGTACTGGGAAGTACTTTGTGCAAGCTTTGTAGTACAAAGTGCAAGCATTGTAGTACAAACCGGTACTGGGACGTACTTTGTGCAAGCTTTGTAGTACAAAGTGGTACTGGGAAGTACTTTGTGCAAGCTTTGTAGTACAAAGTAGTACTGGGAAGTATATTGTGCAAGCTTTGTCGTGCAAAGTGCAAGCTTTATAGTACAAACCAGTATTGGGACGTACTTTGTGCAAGCTTTGTAGAACAAAGTAGTGCTGGGACGTGCTTTGTGCAGGCTTTGTAGTACAAAGTAGTATTGGTGAGTAGTTTGTGCAAGCTTTGTAGTACAAAGTAGTACTGGGAACTGCTGTGTGCAAGCTTTGTAGTACAAAGTAGTACTGGGATGTACTTTGTGCAAGCTTTGTAGTACACAGTAGTACTGGGGCCTACTTTGTGCAAGCTCTGTGGTACAAAGTAGTACTGGGAAGTACTCCGTGCACTTTGTGCAAGCTTTGTAGTACAAAGTAGTACTGGGAAGTACTTTGTGCAAGCTTTGTAGTACAAAGTAGTTTTTGGACTTGTGCAAGCTCGTACGTAAAAGGTTCTGTGTGTAAGAGCTTCTCTGTGTCAAAGCTTCTCTGTGTAAAAGCTTCCGTGTGTAAACGCATCTGTCTCTAAAGGCTTGTCTGTGTAAAAGCTTGCTGTGTGTAGAAGCTTTCTGTGGAGAAGTTGCTGTGTGTAAAAGCTTCTCTGTGTGAAAGTGTGCTGTGTGTAAAAGCTTGTTGTGTGTACCGGCTTTTTGTGTGTAAAAACTTCTCTGTGCAAAAGCGTGCTGTGTGTAAACGCTTCTCATGTGCAGAAGCTTTCTGTGTGTAAAGTTTAAAGGCTTGCCTGTGTAAACGCATCTGTGTCTCAAGCTTCTGTGTGCAAAAGCCTTTTTCGCGCAGTGATTTTTGCGTGCAAGAAACTTCTCCCTAGCAGTAAAAGCTTTGTGACATGCAGAAGAGCTAAGATGAGTTGAGAAGAGCTTCGATGAGATGAGAAAGGTTCAGCAGTGCTCAGGTTGAGCAGTTGAGAAGAGCTTAGGTGACATATGAGAAGAGATGAGATGAGAAGAGCTGAGATGAGGCGAGAAGAGCTCAGATGAGATGAGATGAGATGAAGTGTGAAGAGTGCAGTGTGAAGTGTGGAGTTTCAAGTGCGACCTTTGGAACAGTGCATCACAGTCGCACAAAGCACGCATGCACGGCCTGGCTGGGGCACGGCGCATGCAAGTTCTATAGATGGAAAAAGGTTTTATAGTATAACTCTAAGGCAGCTTCCGCCCCGCCCCGCCCGTGTGGGTACTACTGGTGTGTATATATGTATATATATATATATACAGATCTAAACGATAATATGATATAATGATTATCGAAGGAAGTTTTAGAAGTCAAGCTTCCGACAATATGGACAGATGGAAAAGCAGTAGTGGGAAGAGTCAGAGAAGAGAAGAACAGAAGAGAGAAGATCAGAGAAGAGAAAGAGTGAGAAGAAAGAAGATGCAGGTGTGCGAAAAGGTAGGAAAGTCGCGAAACACTTTGTTTTTCCAATGATTTGAGGCTCCGGAGGGTCGAAAAGTAGGCTCGCTCGCTAAAGCAGCGGGTGCGGAGCCATGTAGCCAGATGAGAGATTAAAAATTGCACGCAGTTGTGGCGCGAAGCACATGTCGAAGTCAAAATGTACAAAGCACCTCAGCCTCAGACCGCTTTTGGAAGTTGAGATGTCGAAAAAGTGCACGCCGTTGTGGCGCGAAGCACATTTCCAAGTCAAAATGTACAAAGCACCTCAGCCTCGGAGCACTTTTGGAAGTTGACATGTCGAAAAAGTGCACGCCGTTGTGGCGCGAAGCACATTTCCAAGTCAAAATGTACAAAGCACACCAGCGTCGTACCACTTTTGGAAGTTGAGATGTCGAAAAAGTTGAGATGTCGAAAATGTTAAAAACACCACATGTTCGGACCATTTTTTGACGTTCAGATGTCGTTCTGCGTGGCAGGTGCAAGGGATTAGCGATCTTGTCACGAAAGTGAGCAAAACGTGATGGTTTTGTAGCATTTCCAAAAACGATGGCAGGCGTGGGATATTTGAAGAGGATCTCGAAAGATGCATTTTCCGTGGCAGGCGCAGTACAAGAGACATGTTCATCAGAGATGTTAGGAGGTCAGGGCGCTGATTTCCTGAGAGGGGTTGCATTTTGGAGCATCAGATCTTCAGTTTTGGGCAGATGATTTTGTGTGACAGGTGCAGCACTTTTTTGGCCTGACATCACTTTTTCGTGGCAGGCGCAATACTTCAGAGATATGGACTGGAAAAATCGCAAAACGCATTGGTTCGAGGCCGTCAGCTCTGCACTCAACTTTCCATTTTCGAAGGAAGTCTCGCGGAATTGCTTCGTTTTTGACGTTGTCAAGTTCAAAAATTGAAGAAGTCTCACAGAATTGCTGCGTTTTTGACGTTGTCAAGCGGCGGGTGCGGAGCCAGCTGGCTAGATGAGGGATGAAAAATTGCACGCAGTTGTGGCGCGAAGCACATGTCGAAGTCAAAATGTAC